CATCGTCATCGTCGTCATTGTCGTCATCGCCATCGTCGTGTCGTCATCCCCTTGTTGTTATGGTTATTGTTAGTATTGTTAGTATTGTTGTTGTTGTTGTTGTTGTCCTTGTTGTTGTTGTTGTTGTTGAAACACCAGGAACAGTCCATCAAAATTATAAAAGCATTGACTGGCATTATATAAGAAAGACAAGCTTTACCCAAAAACCTAAGGATCTTTTAAACATTGATGCAGCATTTATGCTGTTCCTAATATTGCAGTTTTTGTCTCTCGGATTAGTAGTCGTAGCAGTGGCCGTTTTAGGTTCTGGCGTTATATTCTGGTCAAACAGATCTTGCAGGTTTTCAAAGCAACAGGGCCAAGCTTGCAAAACACAGATAATGGTAGGATAGTTCAGAGAGCCAAAAGAACAGAAACTGCTTGGGGGGTGGGGGGTAACGGAAGGGTAAACTTTAGGGTAAACTTCCATTTGAAGTTTATTTCAACTTAAGTACAATGAGTTAACAGTTAGAAATGAGCTGGAAGTGCAACAGCAGGAACTTTAATTGGTTTGTGCGACTTCCCCCCTGAAGACAGACTTGAGAAGGAGCCCCCAGATGGGTTGACAAAATTCTCCCACTCACAGAGCATGGTAAGTAAAGCTTGCCGGCAGACTCTCTCCCCTCTCCCACCTTGAAACACAAAATCCTAGAATGATGGAGCTGGAAGGGCCCCCGAAGGCCATCAAGTCCAACCCCCTGCTCAAGGGAGAAATTTAAATCAGATCTGACACAGAGTTGTCCAATTTTCTCTTGAGGGCCTCTTGCACTGGAGCACTCAGCACCTTAATGGGTTCCATTGTCGTACTGCTCTAACAGGAAGTTTTTCCAGAGTTTCACACTACAGCTGTCTCTCTGTTGCTTGAGCCCATTGTTACGTGTCCTGCACTCAGGGATGATGGAGAACAGATCCTGCCCTTCCTTTGTAGGACTGCCTTTCAAGGATTTGAAAAGGGCTCTCCTATCTGCCCTTGTTTCCTCAAGGCTAAACAGGCCCGGCTCTTTCAGTCTTTCCTCCTAGTCCCCTGACCCTCCTTGTTCTTCTCCTCTGGACCTGTTCCAGTTTGCCAGCATCCTTCTTGAAGTGCAGTGTCCAGAACTGGACACAAGACTCAAGGGGAGGCCTAACCCATGTCCAACAGAGAGGGAATGGTACCTCACGAGATCCAGAGACGGTACTTCTGTTCATCCATCTTAAGCAGCTTGCTTTCTAGAGGAGTGGAGGAGTCCCCTGGGCCACACACACACACACACACACCGGGCTTTGCTTTGATGCACAAGGGAAATCTCTGTGTGAGTGAGAGAAGAAATTCAGAAGTGGCCCCCCTTGGGGTCAGCCACATAAACAGATTCAGGACAATGTATTCGCGAAGGCTTTCACGGCCGGGATCTAATGGTTGTTGTGGGTTTTTCAGGCTCTTTGGGCCGTGTTCTCAAGGTTGTTCTTCCTAACGTTTCGCCCGTCTCTGTGGCCATGGGCATCTTCCAGCCACAGAGATTCAGGACAGATTTTCTTAAGGACTTTCCTCCTCCCACATCACATGGTAAAGCTGTGGAACCCACTGCCAGAAGATATTCCGACAGCTGCCATCTTAGCTTCCCACGTGCGGATTTGTTTGCCCACTGTGCCAACAGAATACTGGGCTAGAAAGACTTTTAGTTTCATAGAAGCATCGTAGGGTTGGGAGGGACCTTGAAGGTCTTCTAGTCTAGCCCCCTGCGCCCAAGGCAGGGGACTTCCTACCATCCCGGACCGATGGCTGGCCAATCTTTTCTTGAAAATCTCCAACGATGGGGCACCCATCACATCGGGAGGCAAGCTATTTCATTGGTTCCTGGTTCTCACCATCAGGAAATTCCTTGTTATTTCCAGGTTGGATCTCCCTCTGACGAGTTTCCACCCCTTGGTTCTTTCCTACCTTCAGGCGCCATGGAGAATCGATGCCCTCTTCCCTGGGGCAACCCTTCAGATATTGGAAGACGGCTCTCCTGTCTCCCCTCAGTTTAATTTGAATTAAGGTGTCCACACTCATGAGGTGGCACGTGGGGTTCAGGTTCAAAGCTGACATGAAGCCATTTTACAAGCCGCTTTTAAGCAGCCCATAAGCTTGAGTTTGGAAGCGCTGAGTAAGGCTTTTGACGATACGACACTGGAGATCACTCATTCGTGGGCTCTCTGTAAGTCAAGGGGGGCTTGACAGCACAGAACAACAGCAGTTTCATGTATGAAACATTGAGAAACCAAAACAGCTACCCCTTTTTGGAGGGAGGGAGCGGGCTGATGTGCATGCATTTAGAGACAAGACCTTACAGAAGTCAAGAACCTTGCCATGTTTCAGACAGATAGAATTAAAGACTTGTCTACTAGACACCTTTACATTTTGCTTTTCAGGGGCTGAATTTAGTAGACAGAAACCAATTGCACCCTCTCCGATTCTGTTTGAAATCTCCAGATCGGAATTAGTCTGTAAATTCACTTGGTTTGGCCCCAGAACCAAAATAACGCCAACGTGGACCTCCTGCAGATCAGCCTAAATGAGACTGGTCTGCTACAGAATTCGACATTTCTCGGAAAAGGGGTATACCGTCTTCTTTTTAAAAATAACTCCCTGGCCTGTCATGTTGTGCATAACTTCAGACACAAGGTGGAACCAAATAGCCACCAGCCTCATCAGACCACTCAGCAAAGGAGAAATTTACAAGAGGAAGAACGCTCAGAAAGCTTTCACGCCTCCTTCAGATTTATTGCAATCCGAAGCTTAATGGAAATACAGAACTACTTCCCACTTCTACAGATAATGCGATAATGTATGCACTTAAAATCCAACTCTTATGTGGGAACTTTGTTGCTCTGTTGAACGGAGATATGTAAATCCAAAAATGTGTTGTTCTAACTTGCTATTTCATATTGTGATGGCTTTTGTTTTTTCTCTCTCTCTCTTTTTGCCATACTTTAAAATAGACTGATAATAGATGGCCCAGCAATGGCTCACGCCTATTCTCTCACCCACCACCACCACCTCCACTGGTGCGTGTTTGGTGGGGACACGGGAGAGGAGGGCCTTCTCGGCGGCTGCTCCTTTAGACTGTGGAACTCCCTCCCACTGGAGGCCAGGCTGTTCTTCCGCAAGCAGGCAAATAGACTTTTCTCTCCAGGCCGGCTTTCCCTTAGTGACCAGCTGCCTGAGTGGGTTTTTTTTTAATGGACTATTGTGTGGTATTTGTCCGGTCCTTATGAATATTTTTATAATTACTCTTTTTTTAGTTTTAAATATTTTTAGTTTTAAATATTGTCTTTTAATGAAGACAGCAACCTTGGGTCCCCTTTAAGGAGAGAGGCAGGATAAAAATTTTGGAAAGGAAGGAAGGAAGGAAGGAAGGAAGGAAGGAAGGAAGGAAGGAAGGAAGAAAGAAAGAAAGAAAGAAAGAAAGAAAGAAAGAAAGAAAGAAAGAAAGAAAGAAAGAAAGAAAGAAAGAGAAATTAAATATCTTGTCTCTATGCACTGGGGTCCCTGTATGTTGTACATCATCTTTCTCTCTGTGTGTGTGTGTGTGTGTGTGTGTGTTTGTTTGTTACTTACTTACTTACTTACTTACTTACTTACTTACTTACTTACTTACTTACTTACTTACTTACTTACTTACTTACTTACTTACTTACTTACTTACTTACTTACTTACTTAATTTATATGCCACCAATCTAACCAAAGACTGCTCTGGGTGGTTTATAACCAAGAGAAACCAATAAGCAAAACATCTAAGAATCAACACTAATAAAATCAAATACAACACAGCGAGCATAATAAAATGCAACCATGTTTCACCCTTTGTGCACGGTGTCCCTTCTTCCCGCCAGACTTAACCTCTTTCTCTCTTCTTCTCTACCAACGCAAGGTGGAAGGGAAGATGGCTCATCCGCCCAAGCTCTTGGTCTTCCTCCTGGTTGGGCTGGCAGCCGGGACGGGCTTCTCCCTCAAGCTGTACAAAGCCGAATCCCTCTACGGCTGCATCGACGCTGCTCTCTCGGACATCAACAAGGGCCTCGGCGGGGAGAACTCTCCGTTGGAAAAGAGGAGCTTCGTGTTCCAGGCAGGAGGTGAGGACGTCTCCTCTGAGGACGAGAAAGATGACGATGACATTGGCTCCCTGGAAGAAAAGGAGAAAAGGACGTTCCCGGCCACGGTCACCCGCTATAAATCCATGGCCCAGGTGCCAGGCAAGAGCAAGGGGTCAGTGGCCACGGGCCAGACCCAAAGTGACCGGCGCACCAAGTTCACCCTCTCCCTGGATGTCCCGACCAACCTCATGAACATCCTCTTTAACATCGCCAAGGCCAAGAATCTACGGGCAAAGGCGGCCGCCAACGCCCAGCTGATGGCCCAGATTGGCCGGAGGAAGTGACCGGAAGCTGGTCAAGGGTGGGAAGGAGGGAAGGGGGAAAGGGGTGATGGCCGAGCCAGGGTTGGGTGTCCGTCCCCCCCACCGAGGGAGAGAGTGTGCTTTGGGCCTGCCTTCCCTCCAGACGGCCCCAGAGAGATGGAACTGTCCGCTGTACTATATTACACAAGTGTCGTACCTGCCCATGTTGTATAGTTGCCGACCCTCAAAGCTGCGTAACCCTTCTAATTCATTTCCTTCTTTTCTTTCCCCCCCCTTCTACATGGAATTAACTTCTGAGATCTTTATGAAACCAAATGAGGGAGAGAGATTGCCCCTTTTTTGTTTCCCTGATGCCAGCCCCGATTAAAGCAAATTGTCTCAAGTTTCTAATTCTTTTTATTTCGGTACTTTCCTTCCTGCTCATCACCGTCAACTGCGCCATGTCGGTCAGGTTGGCCTCCACAAACTGGAGACCGAAAAGTGTGAGGAGATGGGGGGGGGAAGGGAAAGTGAGTTTCCAAGATGTTTGTGGGGATGTTTGCTAGGGATGAGGGAGAAATTCATTTGATTTGAATTTTGAGAAGACGGTCACGAATCTGCCCGTCCCGAACCAACGGGTGGAATGGGACACAATTTTCTTTAGATTCGCACAATTCTGAATGTTGTGATGCAGCTCAAAATGAGCGCAAAAAAGGAGAGTGTGTACAAGGGGAAATCGACCACTAAAACACTTACATTTGTAAGGATATTTTAAATAGGTCATTATTTTAAGGCTTGCAAAAATGTACATACAAACCAAAATGGTGCCCCAAACTCTGCAGATCAAGGGAAATCAAACAGAATCGTTGAACACAAATACATAGTCATTAAAAGTGTGCTGCTTTATATAAAGTGTGCTGCTTAACTACTACCCTATAGGGCTTAAGGAACTTTCTGGCAGTTTACAAGTTAACGATACAGGTTACACTTTGTCCACCTGCCCCATTACAAGTTAATGATGCAGGTTACACATTGTCCGCCTGCCCCGGTTGACCTGGGTTCTCAATTTATGGACCACGGAAGGATGCAAGGTGGAGTCAACCTTCAACCAACTACCTGGGATTGAACTCAGGTTGTGAGCAGAGTCTTCACTGCCATACTGAAGTTGAACCGCAGCACCCTGTCCGTTGTCCTACACCCTGTGCTCTGAAGAGGCGGTGCACCACAACTCCCATCACCCTCTCTTGTCCTGGAATGATGGGAGTTGTAGTCTGAGGCACCTACAAGATGGGAGGTCTGCTGCTGTTCATCACTTCAAGCGAGTTTCTATCCTGAATTTTTTTAAAAAATCCATTACATTATGGAGAACGGCTTGGAAAAAATGTGTACGCTACACAAACGTGCACACACAAAAGATGTACAGTGGTGCCTCACTAGACAATGATAATCCGTTCCACTGAAATCGCTGTTTAGCGAAAGCATTGTCTAGCGAAAAGCATTTCCCCATTGGAATGCATTGAAACCTGTTTAATGTGTTCCAATGGGGAAGAATCGCCGTTGTCTAGCGAAGATCGGCCATAGGAAAGCC